GGCGCCGCTGCCCCTCCCCGCGCGCGGACCCCACCCCCGTCGCCCACCCCGGACCGCTTCCCGCGGACCGACAGACAAAGGCCTCCAGGCCGCCAGCCCCTCGGGTCCACGCCGCGCGGACCCTCCGGTGCCCAAATTGCGCATCGGGGGGCGCCCAGCCGCCGGGCCCTCCCTGAGGGATGACCACGGTAGTGCCACGGCTCACCCAGCCCGCGCGCTTCTTTTGTGCCCGACTCTGTGCTGAGATGTTTACATGGATCCGGTGATGCGCTGAGCCTCAGCCCTGGAGGCAGCGGGCGCAGCATCCCCGGGTTGTTGGCCGAGAGCACAGATTTCCGTGGGGGACCCGGCATAAAATCTGGCCCTGGCACACTCGCCGTATGACCTTGTGGGTAGCGGCTTCCCTTTTTTGAGCCTCGTTCGTCGACTTGGAACGGTGATCCTGAGACCCACCTTTGTGGTTATTAAACCAGAAGATGTGTAGGGAGCATTTGCACAGGGCCCGGCTCTTGGGAGGCGCGCAGTAAATGTTAACTGTCATTGTCATCGCTATTACTGTTGCTACGACTGTCCCCATTTTATAGATGGGGAGTGGAGACGCAGCATTCCTTTTGCGACGCCAAGGTCACACCGTGAGCGAGTGCGTGCGTGCCGGATGGAGAGCTGAACTAGGTCCACCGCCGGGGGCCCTCTGACCACTAAACCGTACCGCTTTCCCTGTTTTCCAAGGCTGCCTTTGATTCGTGTCTGTCTGCCCGCCTGCCTTTGAGTCTCTCTGAAGCTGAGGGGGTGTTTCTCTCCTTGTAGGTGGCCTTCCCTTATGAAACACTACAGCCCCACCGACTACGTCAATTGGTTGGAGGAGTATAAAGTTCGGCAAAAAGCTGGGTTAGAAGCCCGGAAGATTGTAGCCTCCTTCTCAAAGAGGTTCTTTTCAGAGCACGTAAGGATCTGTTGATGTAGCTCTACGGTTCTGCCTGGTAGTGGTGTCTGCGTCTTAGCTCATCCAGCGCTTTTTGGTATCTCCCTTTTCAGTGCTCTCACAATCCCTTACTCACTTAGACGGCTGCAAGAGTCATTGTGTCCTTTTCCTCCTCTCCGACAACATGAAGCCATTTGTCCCTGCCAGCTTGACTTTACTAAAGCCAGAGAGAGAAGGGGGGTGGAGAGGGAGGGAGGGACCTGTAACACAATGTGAAGGGAATTCAGATCAGCGTTATTTCTCTGCAAGTGGGTTAAACGTATTTTTTGCAATCTCCACGTGATTTGGGGGATCATCAGTGATTGAACACTACAGATTTCACCCCATTGTTTTCCCAGAACGTTTGACAAAATTAATATGGTTCTTCTCTCTGGCTTTGCAAGTTTTAACCAGTAGTAAACTGCGTTGTTTGTTAAGGTAACAGGATTAAAAGCTATCTGTAAATCAGAAGTATTACTCCCTCAATTAAATTGTTTTGCATTCATTATCCTAAGTTTGTTTTTTTAATATTGCTGAAATGCATGGGGGTTTTTTTGGTTTTTTTCCTTCCACAGAGTCTCTCACAGAAGTTTCTGTATCAGATCCTGATTCTCAACTTTTTGTAACTCTGGAAAATAGAAAAAATGTTTTAAATTTGTTTCGCATTAGGGATCTAGAAATAGAGCCAATCTGATGTATTTTACTATCCTGGTTTACTGAAGATAAATCTCTGTTTTCTAATTTTAATTACTATTACTTAATGGAATTCATACATTTGAAGTATTTTCCAGGCTTTTCAAGTTTTGAAAGGGAAAATTTGAACTTGGGACAAATTTGACCTTATTCCCCTATGGAGAATAAAACTAGATATTTCCTAGAGTGGTTCATTTCTATAAATAAATGTTTGTTAATGTTAGAAGGGACAAAATTACGTTCAACTTTGGATAAGCTGGCTAAAGCATTCATAATCACAGATTTTAAATACTGGTTAAATGTGTTTGTACCCACATATATTTGGGTGCTAAATATGTTTGATGCCCTTGGTCATGGGCTACTGGTTTGCAGCCTCTACTTCTAGTCCAGCTGGTTTTATGTGCATTTTTAACAGCCTGTGCCTTTGTCTAATAATGATGAATTGTTGTGTTTTTTCCTTAGCTCCCTCTTTCCCTGTACCACTGCCTAATTAGAAGTATGTCAAGGACTTTGAACGTAGCAGGAGTATACTTAAGATTGATCTGTGGGCGGGTGATTACTTTGCCTCAGGACCCTTGTATTCCTGTGTTCTCTGCGTGCACATAGGTTGATGTGAAATTTCCTGGCTACTTTCAAAAAGAAAAGTGGGAGAAGTAATAGAATTTTAAACCAAGGGGACCTAAAAGCCAATTGGTACCACCACCTCAATTTACAGAGGAGAAAACATGTCCAGTGGGTTGAGTTGCCAAAAGCACTAGACTTCTCTCTCTGCCCTCCTCTCCTAGTGGAGTGCAGTGTAGACTGCACAAGATAGTTATTGTGAATTAGGAGATTTTGTATTTCTAGTTATTTTTTCAGAGCTATTTTTCTTCACATTAGAACTCTTGAGTTATATGAAAATATAACTCATTAGCAACTAGCAAGATCTGAACAAATTGTTACTTTGCATGTTACTTTCTACCCATCCTGGGTGGTGCAAGATAGTGCACTTATTTCATTCCATGAAAATAAGCATCTTTGTTTGCAACTCAGTTTTGTGTAAGAGAGTGGCAATGACATTATTACTTTTTATTGAGGCCTGTTTGTATATGTCTTCTTCATAGGTCCCTTGTAACGGTTTTAGTGACATTGAGAATCTTGAGGGACCAGAGATATTTTTTGAAGATGAACTGGTGTGTATCCTAAATATGGAAGGAAGGTAAGCCATAGTTTTAGCAGAGATTTTGTTTGTTTGTTTGTTTTAGTAATAACCCCAGAATGAATTGCTATAATTTGTATGTGGCTGAACCATAGGACTTGCGTTTCCAAATGTTTCATGTGTTATTGTAGTTATATTTTTGAAAAAGTCTGTGTAAATTAGATAAGTACACTGAGACAGTGGATATTTAAAGAAACTGTGCAGAAATTCTTTTGGAAAGAACAGAGAATTAGTATTTAGTCCTACTGTGGGTTAAATACCCTGCTCCGGGCACATGTGTCTATTACATTGTTTGGGTAATATAAACCATCCCTCCACCTACCACCACCAAATTTGCCTGTCGTGAATTGAATCTTTTTTTTTTTTTAAATAATTTTATAGGCATGTCTTAATTTGATGGATGATTTTTTACTATTTCTGAATTTTGGTAAGAAGTAATCTTACTTTGGCCGAGAACAGTATGGATACTTGGTTGAGCCTTTCTTTTATCTTTCCTAATCAAGAAGAATCTATTATCTCTTGGTTGTTGCTTAAAATTTTTTATTCTTTATATTTTCTGCTGTGAAGGTTAATTTCCAGTTTAACTGAAAAATGACTTGGCTTCCAGACTAACTTACCTAGGGAAAAGATTTTCTGATCTAAAAGTTCTGGAAACGTTTACTAGTGATGGAAGATAAGAATGCTAGTTTAGCATCTTCCTTAAGAGAGATCATTGTGAAATATCTCACAAACAAGGTGTAAGATATTTTGCTTGTTGTTTTTAAGGGGGTTTAGGAGAGAAATATCTATCAGTGGAACAACCGTAGGGGAGAGGTAAGATGTGTCACTATTCTAGGCCTTGGATAAGTTCAGTACACAGGTCATTTTTCCGTTTCTATTTTGGTTTATCTATAAATGATTTGAAGTATGATCTAATAGTCAGTATTGTGCAGCCTTAAAAATAAAAGCTGACCTGTCTTTTTTGCATATATACACATATACTTTTAAGTACATAAATGTAATATCATACATACAGAGTTTATTGGTTGTTTTAGTTTTGATTTGATGTTTAGTGCAGACTGTTTTTTTCTTGTTTATGCTATTTTTGCCTTCCTCTCTACTCCATTTGTATTGGCTTTCCCTGCCCCCACCCCTGTAATTCATGGTGACAACCTAGGTTGTAGTCTTGCATACTAATATACACTGATATATGTGAGGATGGTGGGGATCATTATTTCACGAAATTGTGATCATAAAATAGGTACTTTTCTATGTCTTTTTTTCTCATTCAAATTTACCTTATGAAAATCTATCCTAATCAAGGGGTAAAAAATCCAGTTCACTTTTTTTGATGGCTGCGTACTGTTTTGTAGTATATCCCATAATTTATTTAATCATCCCTCTATTGGTGGGTAACCACTTTCTTCTCCATTTTGTGTTACTGTGGAAGGTGATGTTTCTAGTGGTTTCATTTCTAAATGGATTCCTGGGAATAGGTTTCCTAGGTCAGAGTGTAGAACGTTATTGAAAAACCTAAAATAAGATAGAGCATGTTCTTGTATGGGAAGACTTACCATCACAAAAATGTCAGTTCTTCTGAAATTAATACGTAGACCTAGTGCCATTCCAGTTAGGATCGAAAAAGAGTTATGGGACAAGAAAGCTTTTTGGTGTTTTATTGGATAATGTTGTCATAAAATATATACAGAAGAATAAATTCACAAGAAGAGCCAGAAAAAACAATTTGTTAATGATTGCAATGGGAAACTTACGTCACTAGATAATAGAACATATAAAGCTACCTGTAATGAAAACAATACAATGTTTAAATAAAAGTAGATAGCCACATCAGTGGCAAAGAGTAATTCAGAAATGTGTCCCAGCTATAAAAGATAATTGAATACATTTAAACTTGGAGGGGAAAAGGTGGTACATCAATTATTTAATGAGTGGTCCTGGGCATAACTGAATTTCCATCTAGGAGAAAGTAAAACTTACGTCATATCCAGCAATTAAGTTCCAAAAGAGTAAAGAACCTAAATTTAAAAATGATCACCATGAAAATCCCTCGAGGAAATAGGAGACTTCATGTACAGTCTAGGGAGACCTCCTTAACCAAGGCTGATAATACAAAAGCAATAAAAGAATATAGACAAGTGACTTTGCAATAGAAAAATAAACTTCTGTATGACCAAAGAAACCATAAACAAAGTCAGTAGGGTTCTTAAAATTTCTAAGAAGAAATCAAAAAATGTACAAAGAATAGGAGGATGACACTCAGAGAAGAGCAAATCCAAGTGTCTGGCAATCATGTAAAAAGACCTTTAAATCCACTCTCAAAGAAATGTTAAATAACAATGAAATATTGCTTTTGTACTTACCAGATTAGCGAAAAAGACTGATCATGTACAACCAGTAAAAATATATATTGTTATAGTCTTTTTAGAAGTAATGATCATAAATGTTACCCCTTGACCTGATGTGTGTATTTTGAGCCTAAAATAGGGTTGATTTTAAATGACAGGGAATACTCTCACATTTGTAAATATTTTGGAATACCAATTTCCATGAAGGACCCTATTCGTATTCATTCGTGGCAATGCTTGTTGTTTGGATGTGGAAAGCATAGGAAGGAAGAAGGGTAGTTTCTGCAAACACTAAAGCTCCAGCCCCTGGATATTTGAAAACAATTTGCGTTTATGTTGTTCTGTGCAGTCTTTATTAAAAAGACTACATTCCACAATAAAGATTTGAAACAACATAGTACAAGAGTATACACTGTACCTGAGAAAATTCGCCCAGAATGACCAACACTGACACATATTTCACTAAAACTGTTGGATTTTAGAAAAGTCCTTTGGGCATCCAAGCAAAAAAGATGAAGTCACTTATAAGGGAAAGAAAATCAGAATATCATCAGACTTTTCAACAGCAATGCTCTATGCCAGAGAGAAAAAGAGTAACATATATAAGATACTCAAGGATTGAAAATGTCAGCCAAGGATTTTTATATCCAGCCAAAGTGACTTCCAAGTAAAAAGGCTGCAGACAAACTTATCTTACAAGAACTCGGGGACTTTCAAGCCCTTCCCAAGAAATGAGCTAGAAAATGAGCTTCAAACAACCAAAATAATCAGAGAGACTGACGTAAGGACTAGTGTGAACATTAAATATGCATTTACTTATAGAGTTAAATCCAGATGCCAGTTCATAGGATAGAAGGTAGTGTATGTAATAGCCATAAGCCCTGACAATGTAGGTACACTACAACTGTTTAAAAAAAGGAGCAGAGAATGGAGGAGAACATAAGCAAAATATTTAGCTGTTTTCGAGTAATCATCAAGATGATAAGAATATTGGTCTTGTTATCCTGAGGCTGAGGGGGGTGGGGGGGTTGTGTGAGAGAGAGAGAATGAGATGTACAATAAAGCAAATGAGTAATTATGTTACTGGAGAAGCAGGATTCTTCTGGAAGAAAAAAGATGTAGATTTAAAATAGAATAAGGTAAAAATTATCGTTCTGAATTTGAATTAGAAGTGTCAGTATGAACTCATGAGATAGCTTATATTTAAATATATGTAGAGGTGTGTGTGTATGTGTGTGTGCACACATATATACACTAGACTTACTATCTCTGTCCACCGAAAAGTCTAGAAACAATAACAACTTAGTAGGAATGATCATCCCTAGTACCCAGATTGTGGTCTTGGTATACCATTACCTCTCAGAAGAAGCCAGGGTTTTTGGAGAAATGGCTGATTCTAGGTCCAATACAGGAGCTGTAAAAGATGAGCCTGGAGCGTCTTGGAAGCCTGGAACCAGATAGCAAGAACAGTAACAACACTTCATGTCAGAAGCATTCAGGGGCCAACATGAAGAGGCTTCCATTGACCAAATGTGACGATTGGAGCATCAGTGTGGATAATAAATAGAATGGATTGAAACACATCAAATATATTTAGCTCCGTGAGTTCATAATAATATTTAACAACAACTAATAGGTCACCTTTGGAGGATAATAAGAACCCAAATTATTATTTTGAAAAATAATAAAGGAGAGAAATGAGCATTTACCCTGCTTTTATAATATACTATGCCATTGGGGGACCAAATAGTAGATATGGGCAAATTATTCTTTATAGGAGTATTCCAGCTAATAAATGAAGAACAGATGGTTGAATTAGATTATCACTACTTTGTAACCTCTAATGAATTAACAGACCTGGGCATTGTGTAGCAGTGGCTGCTAACATCACAAAAAGAAACAATCAAGGTATGGTTGCCTCCTGATGGAAGAACTTGTTACCACCTGTGAAGTAGTCTTGTCAAATAAATGGAATCCAAATCTGATCAAGCCTCTACATCCAATTTACAGGAAACTCAGAAGACAGAAGAACATGTTAAACTACACCATATGGATGCAATCAACAAATTCCAGACTGTGGGAAACTACAGGTCAAACAACCAGGTTTCTTCAACAAAAAAAATGCAAGGGGAAAAAAGATGGCGGGCGATCCTGTAGGTTAAGAAACTTAAAAGACATTGAAACAGACTAGAGTGTTTAGGGATACACATTTGGCAAAAACTATAGAGAAAAGCAAGGTGATGACCATAGAGGCATGGATTTGATTATTGAGAGGGGAGGAGAGGGCCCATGGAGGGCTTCTGGGGTGTCTGCAAAGTTCTGTTTCTTGGCCTGAGTGGTGGATATAAGGGTGTTTGCCTTATAATAGTTCATTAAGCTACTCATTTGTTTCATGTGATTTTCTAGATTGATATATGTTTTACAGCTCAAAGGTTAAAAAGTGGTAAAACCTAGCTCTGATGATTTTCATTTACTATCTGGAGAGTGAGAGTCCTTTGTTTCTTTATGAAGTCAGACAGATAAGTTGATCACTCTCCTGCTTCCCTTGACCCCTGTGTGTATTTGGGAGATCTGGTGAAGAATTTCATTCACTCAACAAGTATCTGTTGAGCATCTACCATGTGCCCCACACTATTCTAGGCAGTGGGGATACAGCAGTGAACAAGACAGAAAGCTCTGCCTTCACGGAGCTTACACTCTAGTGGGGAAATAGACATTAAACAAAGTAAGATATTGATTACATTAGACAATGAGAAACGCTATAGAGAAATGTGTGTCAGGGAAGAGGGTGAGGGAGTGGTGGTGGTGGGGTACGGTTTTAAATAGGGTGGTGGGAGAAAGCCATACTCAAAGGAACATATGAATCAAAACCTGAAAGGAGATGAGGGCACAGATTGCAGATCTCCAGGGAAAGAACGTTCCGGGCAGAAGGAACTGTGAGTACTAAGGCCTAAGGGGAGCACTGGCCAGGCGATGAAGGAACAACAGGGGAGCCAGCATGGCTGGGGACTGGCCTGAGGAGGGAAATAGTAGGAATTGAGGTCAGAGAGGTAATGGGGTGAGAGTTTAAAGGCCTTTTCAGGTTGTCATTAGGACTTGGGCTTTTACTTCGAGCAAGGTGGAAAACCATCGGAGAATTTGGAGCAGAGAATTGTTGTGCTGTGATGTAACGTGTTAGCTAGAGCACTCTGGCTGCTCCACTGAGCATAGACTATGAGGGGCGAGTTTCAAAGCGGGAAGCTTAGTGAGGAGGATGCCGCTATGGTACAGACAAAAGACGGTGGTGGCTTAGATGAGTTAGTGAGAAGCGTTCGCATTTCTGATATATTTTGAAGATAAAACTGACAGCATTGGCAGATGGATTGAATGTGGCTCATGAGAGAAAGCAGGGAGTCAAGGATGCCTCCAGGGTTTCTGGCCTGACTGGAATGATGCGGTTGCCATTATCTGAGAGGGGATGACTCTGCGAGGGGAAGAATGTTGAGGTGCTCACCAGGTACCCAAGTGGGGAGGAGGAGTCGCAGTTGGATATGTAGGTCTGGAGTTTAGGCACGGCATCTGTTCTGGAAAATAGATTGGGAGTTGTCAGTATGGGTGCTGTTGGAAACCAGGAGACTGGATGAGGTCACATGGCAGTGAGGGGAGCAAGAAGCAGCCCATGCCGAGGGTTCCAGACGCCTCAGCCATGTCTCCGGAGACTCATCCAGGTCCCCTAACTTTTCAGGTTTCTTTTCTATTTCCTTTTAGTCAATCTGAAGCCAAACAGATAACTGTTTCTTGAATTTCAGCGCGACTAATTGAGTGTTAGATTACAAGTGCAAAGTCCTAAATTGTGCTGTCTGCTCCATGATAATAAGTTCTCTATGATCGTGAGCCAATCATATTTTTCTTGTGAAGTAGACTCTTTACATGGTATGATTAGTGTGAAGTGAAAAATAGATAACTGGAAGTTTTAGTATCTTAATTATTATTGACTTATTGTTTGTTTGTTTTTTCCAGAAAAGCTTTAACCTGGAAATACTACGCAAAAAAAATTCTTTACTACCTACGACAACAGAAAATTTTAAATAATCTTAAGGCTTTTCTTCAGCAGCCTGATGACTATGAATCATATCTTGAAGGTGAGACTTGAACAACATTTCAATATGCAGCTAAGCTGTCTTTCAGAGCCGTAGTGGAAACTGTCCCTGATGAGAAAGCAGTGGAAAAGTAAACTGTGCTGCCTGGGCTTCTGAAGGTTGGGCTAAAGGGTCTGATCAATTAGGTAGGCAAAACTATTAAATTTAGAGCTGAGATTTTGTCAGAATCTTTAGCCGTCAGCTGAAGAGACAGTGTTTTCTAAAGATGCACCATCAGTTCAAAGCATGGAGGCTGATATTTTAACTAATGAGGTTAGTTCCCTGTTTTTCTAAGCTTTACAGCATCATTTCAAATCAGAAATAGATTTGTCTAGTTTTGTCTTCCTATGACCCCAAGCAAATCCCTTGACCTCTGGTTGAAGTTTAATGAGGACGCAATGTTCTTACAGATCAGTGAGTGCTCGTCCATAGTGAGAAGTGAGTAGAAGGAAATCAAGTGGACGGGCAAGATGAAGGGAATAACTTTCTGTTCCGACTAAGTTGAACAAGAACAAAATGTGACTTTATTTTTTTTTTAACTATTTTAAATTCCTAGCATATTACACAGACACTCCCATAGTTTATGGTTGTGAAATACAGATAGGACCGTTCACTTTCATTCCCTGCTCTCAGTGATTTACGCAAGTCATTTTTTTTTTTTCCTTTCCAATGTTTCTCGTTGTCTTGTCTCCATTCTGTTACTGTTCTTGTGTGGGCTGTCACCACCTCTCCCAACAATAGCTTTCTAAGTAATACTTGCTTCCTGAGCATCACCCCCTCCTGCCCTCAAGTCAACCAACGTACCAGTGCCAGTCCAGTCTGAAACCCCACCTGTTTTCTGCACTCTATGTAAGCCTGCAAAGTGGCCAGCTGATTGCCTCTTTTGTTAAATCTCTGCCTGCTGCTCAATGCCCTCCATAATTCAGCCCTCTCCCTAAATCCAAGCCTTTCCTCGTTACTCTCCAAAATGTTCCACTTGCTCTAGCTGGGCTGTTGTCCTCACTGGCACCCTACAGATACCCTACTTCACATCCTCGTTCATGGTATCCCTTTTCCTTAGAATTCCTTCTTAAATCCTACTCACCCTCCGAGGTTCAGTTCAGGTTTCATTTCCGTTAAGTTTCTCTGACTATTGCAACACTTGCAGGTTTTACTCCCCTCAGAACTAAGACAGTAGCGCTGACTGTATTGCGTTGTTTCTGTTTCATGTGTGTACAAGTTGTTTCTCCAACTAGTCACTCAGTTTGCTGTGTTCCTCGTCCTTATGTTGCCATCATTCCACAATGCCTAGTGCAGATTCTTGTTGATTGTGTGAAAGTGTTATCCAAAAGAAAATGAAAAATCTGTTTCCGTTCACGAAAATAAAATATCCTCGCCACCCTGGAATCATCTCACATGCATACTGGAGTTGAAAGTCATCCTCCTGTTTGTTCCACAGTCGAGAATAATTTGACAAGCTTTATATTCTGTAGCTTTTTTATGAAAACAAGTACTTCTTTTTCATTTTGTAAATATGAAGTAATATTATAATTTTCAAATAACCCTTCCAAATCAGCACTGTAGGCGTTGGGAAGCCTTTGAGGTTTTTAAGTAGTTGAGTGAGTGGAATTTGGCTCTGGATTTTGGTACTTGGTGACTGAGTAGAATAATCTGATGCCGTTGATGAAGTCTAGGAATCATAGCAATAGGGTGGAACAGAATTCCTTCAGCTGCAGGTGGAGAAGCTGGGTTCCCAGGAGGCCCAGGAGCCAGTTGACCCCCATGTTGACCCCCATGCAGCTGCTTTCGGCTCCTTAGGGTATGGGTAGGGCATCAAGATCCTGAACTGGTTTGAGATTCTTGAATTTAAAATGACTCTATGGCTTCCCAAGTGAAAATGTCCTGTAACCACATAATGAGGTTAGCCCTTCCGTCTTTGGTTAAAGAATTCCCTAAGGCCGTGAAGAGTGGTGATCTTTAAGAGACAGTGTCTCCAGTGTGCTTTGTACAGGCTTTTAGCTGCAGGCTCCCTGAGGGTAACTGTTTCTCTAGTTTGAAAGTACAGTTACCTCCAAAGTCCACTGACTGGTTCTCCTTTGAGAGGTACATTCGTGGAAAGGCATATCTGTCAGTGAGGGCTTTCAACTGTTTTTTTTTTAAGTAAAGGAACTGTCTTATACCATTAAGTGTTTGGAGTTGTTGGATTTTGAACTACAAGAGAATTAGAGAGGGTGAGAGAAGTAGCTTGAGAAGATCTCCTTGAGAGCATTTATTTCTCTTTGCAGTAGACTATGGGAATATGCCATGTGTCATGCAGTTTGCAGTTTTTTGAGTCCATGATCTCTGAGAGAGGTTTGGTTTATTTAAAAAAAAAAAATAGTGAAATCTGTGCTCCTTTGTTGTAAGGATGTTTGTTGCTCCTTCTCAGTGTTTTGGCAGCAAGGCCTGGCATCCAGGATACAAAGCTTATCTGGTGGGATGGTGGAAAGAGCTATGGCCCAGGTGTCTGGGGTAAATGACAAACTGATAAGAAAAGGGTAAACATAGGGCTTTATTGAATAATTGGTGTTTGTTTTCAGGTGCCGTGTATATTGACCAGTACTGCAACCCACTCTCCGACATCAGCCTCAGAGACATCCAGGCCCAGATCGACAGCATCGTAGAGCTGGTTTGCAAAACCCTCCGTGGCATAAACAGCCGACACCCTAGCTTGGCCTTCAAGGCAGGTGTGGAATTGCTTTGGATCCAGCTGTATTTGTGCAGGAACCTAGAGTAATTGGTTAATTTGGGAAATCCTGCAGTGTGTTCCCATTATGTCACGAAGAAGTGACTAAGGACTCAATCATGTGTTCACCTGGATAATGTAAAAGACTTTGAATACATATTCTTTTCTCCACATGGATTGGCAACACCTGATGAATATTGTTAGGCCTTGCCAGTGTCTGCGTGTTATGAGTTATTCGGGACCCTGGTCACAACCTTATCTGTGCTTGTGTCCTCAGAGTAGATCTCTGTGTTTCAGGCGAATCCTCCATGATAATGGAAATAGAACTCCAGAGCCAGGTGCTGGATGCCATGAACTATGTCCTTTATGACCAGCTGAAGTTCAAGGGGAACCGAATGGATTACTATAATGCCCTAAACTTATATATGCACCAGGTAAATGTGGATATCTTAAAAAATAATAACGTGTGTTTAAGCTCATCTCTGATAAACCGTACATTTTTTGAAAGCAAATACTGTGTTCTTTTCATCTCTCAATGCCCGGTGAAACTCATTTTTGCCTCTACCATAAGGATATTGCTGTGGGTTTTATGTGTTTTATCACGAAGTATCCTCTGTATGAAAACCCTTGAGAGAAATTCCTGACTAGAAATAGGTCTTTGTCTGACTCTGTTTGGTCAGTTTGTATCTTATGAACACTAACTGTGAAACTGAACGGGTCTTTCTTTTTGCACTGACCTCCTGGAATGTTGGAGGCAATCGGGCCAGCCGTGTCATTGATCCTTAGTTTTTTGTTTGTTTGTTTGTTTTTGAGGAAGATTAGCCCTGAGCTAACGTCTGTTGCCAATCCTCCTCTTTTTTGCTGAGGAAGACTGGCCCTGGGCTAACATCCGTGCCCATCTTCCTCTACTTTATATGGGACACTGCAATAGCATGGCTTGATAAGCGGTGCATAGGTGTGCACCTGCGATCTGAACCCATGAACCCTGGGCCACCAAAGCAGAGCACACAGACTGTACTGCTATGCCACATCAGGCTGGCCCCGATCCTTAGTTTTCATTTTCTTCCCTCTTGGCCCATTTTCATATCTGTGTTTTTGCTCTATATGCTACTTGTATTTTCTTTTGTCATACGTTACATACTTTCCTTGAAATGGCCTTCAGTTCTTTCTGGAAGAAGGAGGGCCTAAAAATCACAGGTCTGCATACTTTTTCTATAAAAGGCCAGAGAGTAAATTATTTTGGCTTTGTAGGCCATATGCTCTCTGTCCTGACTGCTCAGTTCTGCTGCTGTAATGTGAAAAGAGGCACAGACAGTTCAAAACAAATGAATGTGGCTGTGTTCCAATAAAACTATATATATGGACGTGGAAATTTGAATTTAATATAATTTTCATGTGTCACAAAATAGTATTTTTTTTACTGTGTTTTTAAACATTAAAAAAATGTTGAAACTCTTTTTATGCATGCCATACAAAAACAAGTGGTGGCTCAGCTTTGGCCCGTGAACTGTGGTTTGCAGCCCCCAGATGTAAATGCAGACAAGCCTGGCATCATGCCTGGCACAGCAGGAGCCTCATAAGGCGTGCTGAGGGAGTGAGAAGGCACGGTCATCTCTGTGAAGCTGAAGCATTCTTCTCTTGTAGGTTTTGATCCGCAGAACAGGCATCCCGATCAGCATGTCTCTGCTCTACTTGACAGTTGCCCGGCAGCTGGGGGTCCCACTGGAGCCTGTCAACTTCCCAAGTCACTTCTTATTGAGGTGGTGCCAGGGTGCAGAAGGGTGAGCCATCTGTGACTCGTGCTGATTTCCACTGTGCTGAGAGGGGGGTAACGAAACTGAGGTCAAGAAGACTAGGGTGGTGATGGAACTGCGTGTTTCTCAACTGTATCAGTGTCAGTATTCTGGTTGTGGAACAAGGGCACTCTGGATCTTTCTGTATTATATCTCACAACTGCATGTGAATCTACAGTTATCTCAAAGTAAGAAGTTTAATTTTGAAGACTAGGACTAAGGAGTTCAAGGTCTTATGTGGATCTCAAAGTCTCTTTGTTCCAAAGCAGATCAGATCAAAGAGTTCTTAAAGAAACTCTTAGTTTCCAGTCTTCCATGAAATCTCCCTCTCCCTCCCTCCTCACACAAGAGGAGGGGAGAAAGGGGGAGAGAGAACAGGGCAACCAATTTCTTCATTCGTGTGCAAAGCAAATATTCGAGTTCTCACCATCAATGGCGCTTCTTATAGGCCACGTTGGTGACTGATGTGCATTTTGTAAAGCGGGTTGATGAGTTCTATTTTGTTCTCTTTTTTAAACCTGGTGTCCTAGTGGGCATAAAGCTCCTTTTCAGCTGTAGCCTAGCTTTTCTGAAAGAAATGGTTCATCAAATAGGTAGAAATATCTTCTCGTTGAATGTGCCATTTAGAGGAAAAAGAGACAAAATTATTTAATTATATCCTGTTCTTTGAAACCCATTCCTGATGGCTAACTGTGATACCCTTGGGTGATGTGATGAGCAGTCTAAAAAAAGTCCCTGAGCTTTGAAGTCAGACTGGCTTTAAACCTCGGGTTCCTCTGAGCCTCAGTTTTTTCCTCTGCAAAATGGGGCTGATGTTTTTCATAAAGTGGTTTGGAGGATTAAATGACATCAGTGCTTTACACACCTAGTAGAGTTTCTGATGCATAGGTAGAAAAAAAGTATGGCTGGTCTCTGTATTTCTACCTCCTGGTATAGGAAATAAAACATACGTAGAGTTGGAGCCTCCTGGGCATTCTTCCTTATCCTTTT